TAAACCCTAAACCCTAAAATCGCAAGCTTCAGAAGATCTGGAGAGCCAGGGCCAAGCGCGCGGGGCCGGTCGGCTGTGATGCCGGAGGAGAAGGCCGGGAGTGTGGGCGGAGATCCTTTCCAAAATCGATGATATGGGGGTTTCCGAAAATAGAGGACCCCAATATAGTACCCTAAATAATAAGTTCCTTATTATAAGGACCCCAAAATAAGGTACCCCCTAATTTCGGAAACTCCCATATCAGCCATGGCTCTGTGCAGATCTGTGCAGCACCCGTCAGGTATCCGTCTCGGGTCGAGAGCGGCAGCCGAATTGCGGGAGCGATGCGAAGGAGGAGATTCCATGGCTCTTTGGGCCAGTTCCACCCTTGATGGAGCTTGCTGGGCTGAAGCCTCAAGCATTGACGTATTTGGCTGTAGCGAGATCGACATCACCCTCGCCGGCCTCAACTTTAGCCCAGAGCAGAGCTTCGAGCGTGAGTTCGGCATCGTTTATGCCTTCTCCCCTCGTCTCTGTCCCTCAGAGGGCCGCCAGGGCAAGTAGCGAGCCGCCGCCCATCAGATGGATCAGTCCCGGGGCTCCATGCGTTCCCGCCACTCCCGCCACTCCTGCCACGCCGGCATTCCACCTGTCTCCAAGAATCTCCACATTGTGGCCCTCACCGGTGTTCCAAAGCAGGACACCTTTTCAATTTAGCTCCATGCCACCTGCAGTTGACAGCCACAGATGGTCTCACTCAGCTCTTCCTTTGCCTCGGAACCTCTCGTTTTCGGCCGTGCCTTCCATCTGCACGCGACTGCCCGACTCATCGAACTTGGCGAGCTGGGCGTCGGCCTCCCCGTCCGGTCTAGCGGTGAGTCCGAGCACAGCAACCTCAACGCAGGCGCTGCAGGGCCTGGTCCCAGGGCCCATGCGACTTCTTGAGCCTGTTACGCTTCCGCAAGCTTTGCCACTGCGGCGGAGCCGAAGCCGCCCGGTCTGCACCACTTTGCTGCAGAGGATCCTGGTTCCCAGGACTCCGATTATCTTTCCAGTCAGTCCAGGCCTTTCGACATGTTGGTTGAAAAACACGATGTGCAGAACAAAGCAGCCCATGCGAGCAGTCAGGACGACTGCAGCAGCCCAGCCGCCGGATGCCAGTCCCGCCGCTGCACAGGCTGCTACCCGCGTTTGCTGCCGGGCGCGTTGAAGCAGCCCTGTGGTGGTGGCAGTGTGTTTGTAGACCCCATGTTCTCGCCTCCCCGTGTTTCATGTAGACCCACGTGCCCTTGACCAGGGCTTGGAGGAGGCTGTGCAGCCGAAGATCCCTTCTCCTGCCACCTCGCCGTTACACTCGCCGGCTTCGCGGCCCAAACGCCCCGAGGCGGTGACTTTCGATGTGTTTGATACACCAAACTTGAAGCTTCCTGCAGGCCAAGGCCAAAGCTCCGGCGGCAAGGTCGCCGAAGGCATGGAGGGATGGAACCCTTCTGCTTCGTCTTACTGCTCGTCGTCGTCCTCCTCCTCCTCCTCCTCTGCTGCATCTGCTACTGTTTCTGCTGCTGCTGCTGCTGCTGCTGCTCTCCTGCTCCTGCTCCTGCTCCTGCTCCTGCTCCTGCTCCTGCTCCTGCTCCTGCTCCTGCCTGCTGCTGCTACTGCTGCTGCTGCTGCTGCTGCTGCTACTGCTGTGACGACACCGGCGACGACGACCACGACACGACTGCTGCTGCTCCAGTATTGCTATTACTGCTCTACTGCCTCTGCTACTGCAGCACTGCTGCTGCATGATTCTCATTTCTGTTACCGGCCCCACCGGGCAGGCGCGCCCGGCCAGCCGCAGTCCACGTAAACGAGAGGAACCAGCAGGCCAGGCTCTCAGACTCAGGCGAAGTGTCTACAAATCAATCGTGCTGGGTAGGGCCAAGTGATGTGCATGATCCGGCCTGTGGACACTAGGCACCCGCCCGAAGCTGCCTGGCTCCAACGCGGAGGACTTAAAGTCGGGCTTCGTAGCACGCCCCTAAACTTCCTTAAACCCTAACCCCAATATTGGAAGGATCCTGGCTTTGACGTGGAGACCCTCGCGCCGTCGCCCCTTTCGCTGTCAGAGTCAACGCCGACAACGAGTGCACAGAGCCCTGGCAGCCGAGCGCTCAGCACGATCACGATGTGGGGGTTTCGGAACATCAGGGTCCTTTTTCAGTTGTCCAGCATTGTAAGGATCCAGCTGTTCAGGGTGTGCATTGAGGTTCCGCATTTTCTGAAGCTCGGATGTGCATCAGATTTATGAAAATGACACGACCTCTGTACGCCGAGGGTGGCTGAGGGAAGCATATCAGAAGGCAAGCCTCCTGCCTTTCGCATCAGTTGGCAAATCCTTGCCTAATTCCTTGCAGTGACAGGTGGGCAATGGTAAGGCTGCTCCGACAGACAGCATGCGGCGAGGTCCATGCATAGGGCAGACGAAGGTAGGCATCCCGAACAAGCAGCTACTGGGCACTTGTGCGATGCGCCGCCGACTGAAATCATCTATACCGTCCATGTCCATAAACACACAAGTAACACAAGTACATGCATCCATGCGTGCAGACATCATCCGTGCATACGCACATGTGTGCATGTCCTGTCCAAGGTTCAATTCTAGGAGCGAGTTATTTTCTGCAGCTGTGCTTCTGCAGCAGAAATTTCGTGCTTTCTTTCTCAGTATATTGGCTCTATTGAATATTACACTGGGATAGGGTTGGATGCTGTTAGATGCTGTGGAACCATGTTGACCTGCCAGCCGGGCTCGAATGAGCACTGGATAAAAGCCGATGTCGTGTTTAGGCCAGCCGAGCAGCGCATGCAACCAGTTCCAGTTTCCGACGAGCACTTCTAGCATGCTAAGTGCCGTGCAAGCAGGAGTCTGATATCAGTAGGTTAGAGGTTTGTTCCTCCTGTGCTGCTGCAATGTCAGAGACATCCTCGCCAGTCGCCACAGCAGCCACCTCTGCAAACACCGATGTCGAATTCGCACAGCTACTTGCGCAACAGGCCATACGCAATGT